GTATATCCATGTATCAGTAATATATATCTAACTTATCATTAAAGTATCATCAACAACAAAAACTTTAAATACCTGTGTTGAAAAATCAAGCAGCGACCATATGGGTGGATGACATTGTGATGATTATGGTTCTTTGGTGATTGAAACATCTTTTTGCTTTCTTGTGTATACAATGGTAATTGGTTACATACCTATCGTTATATGAAGCATATGAAAAAAGGATTGAAGTAATGGAAATATACCTTTTAATCTTTTATTTCTCTCTCAATACCTTTTTAGTATGACATTAGATATTCCTTTCGGGTGCATTTTGGTAGGATCATTCATATTCAATTCATTATTGACAGGTTTTTAAATTTTCTTTTGTTGGCTCCTTGCCTGAGAACCTTTACCAACCAATATGTCATCAATATCCAATGACAATTTCTTCATGGACTCCTTCATGCGCTGTTCAGTTGCTGGATTTCTCTTTACTTTTGGAGTAATTTGATATGCAACTTTCTACATGTGTGTTTGTAATATTAGGTCGCTTTTAACATAATTCGACATTTGTGACTGTTGCAGATGTATGTTTCCATAATTGTTATATACATATCTTTTTGCATTTTTAGATCATCTCAATAAGAGATATTTATCAGGTATCTTCTTAATATGTAGAAAGTTCAGAACTCGTATAGAGTGCGCACATAATAGTCCCATCATTTTGAACTTTCTACAGCCACACTGAATATCCAAACTCAAACAGTCAAAATTAACTACCCAAGTAGTGTTTGTTCTGTGATCATCCAAATTCTTAATGAAAAATTCAGTTTCAGAGTTTGAAGAGGCATGTAATTGAAGACCACATGATCCATGTATAAACTCTTCCTCAAACATTGTGTACAACTTCCCTGAGTAAAATGTAGCTCCCTGCCTCAGTATTGGGTTACTTTTCGTGACATGAGTAATCACAGATTGATCACACTTGAAATCCTCGTCCTTCTCGTTACTCCTCCATGTTCTCATGAAATTTTCAATGCCCAAAAAATAATATGTAATAAAACTTGTGGGCTTTGAGATACCATGACAAATATTATTTGTTGACTTACTTTTCTGAGTCGATAACATTACCATTCCAAATACATCCTTATTAAATGTTGTTGACCACTTATGTCTACTCTTGTACATCTCATCTAGCCACATTGTTCAATAAATTACATGTCTCATTCATCACCTCCCATGTATCACCAAATTCCTCTTCAAACTCACATTTGCTTAACCATTTATAAAAAAATCACTGACTATCTTATGCACCACCCTATAATGAACATTTGTAGGCCATTTCTTGTATATGTGCCACTGACATAATCTATGTCGTGTATATGACAAAATCTATGTTATGGCTCTACCCATTGCCTGATCTTGATTAATGTAGATTGTTATTGGATGATTATCACCCATGATACAAATAAAAGTTTTAAAAAGCCATTTAAATGAGTCCACCATCTTCTCTAACAAGAATCCAACTTCAAAGATAAAATTCTGTCAAATTTGGTTGACACCAACAATAAGAACACAACATAAGTTATACTTATTTAATATATAACTTATATAAAAAACAAGAACATCTCCAAAGCAGTCATAATCAAGCCTATATGTCCCGTCGCTCCAAAAAAAACTCGTCAGCCAACCACTCTCATCAGTTTCAAAATCCCATTCAAACATGCTATCTTTAGCACGTCTCTCTGCAAACAACTACTGCAATAAAGCATTGAGCAATAAAACATTGACATCACCATTTTCAATTCTATATCTCCTCTCTCTTTGAATGAAATTGAAAGCATATGTCTTTGTACATTCAAGGTTCTCTACACCCCAAACTTCTTTGGTTAGAAAGTTAAACGCATCTTTATGGCTTATCCCTGATTGTGTCATCGACCTGAGCACATCTGCATTGACTTCACTTATATTTATGCTGGAATGCTAAAGATGTTTATCACCAGGGTTTGCTAATGAGTGGTTATGAGATTCAATAAATTTTTTGACAATCCAATTGCCTTCCTCATCAACTGCGTATCGAATCATTGCAGGGCAACCACTTATTGTGTCTGCTTTTTTGTATTTAACAGTTTTTGTGAACTTCATCTCTTTCTTTAAACATGCTTATTCACATATGAAGTCCTTCGTCTTAATATTCTTGGAGGTAGGCCAAAACGTAGTGTGCTCCTTACGAACATTAAATCTAATATGATGAGCGTAAGCACAATATACTTCATAAGCTTCTTTCTCATCGTGGACTATCATTTGAAGTAATTTATTTATTGTTTGCTCGATACAAGTAGATTCACTCTCACCCAACTGCAACCAATAGAATAAAATGTTAAACTTAACAAACATCTCAAAAAACAACTCTAAACCCTCATATGTTTCTTCCATAATAAGGATTTATTAGTTTTTTAAAAAATAATAAATCGTTAACCTTATCCTACATTAAACCATAATAATCACAACTCAATAAATAACCCTAAAACCACACACCTCTACAAACATGCACCTCCAAAAACTTAACTATTTTTTATTAGCTATTGAGCTGTGATTATTGGGGTTTAATGTAGTATATTTACTTCACTATTTTTACAAAACCCTAATCTCTACAAACATATCTTAACAAACATACAACTCCAAAAATACGGCTAGATTCTAAAAATAAGAAGACCCTAACAACAAACAATATTATTATAACAACTGAGGCAATGTCTCCAAAAAAAAAAAAAAACAAAACAAATCCAAACACACCTCCACTTTAACATCCACTTCTTCTCTCTTGTTAGGATAACTCTCTTCTTCTCCTTCCGCTTCGTAGATAAAATGAAAGTTTGTGTTTTTTTAGTCCATCTTGAATTTTAACAGGTCCAGGTGCCACTGCAGGAGAAAATAACGTCGGAAAATAGAGAATATGGCCGATAAAACAATAAACCCTAGCTGCTTAAATACCATGATTCGCGTGCGCTCCAATTTTTAATCTTGTACATCGCAGTTACACTTAGGTTACACGCGCGGTGCCAGTGCGATGTGCTTAATAATCTGTTACATCGCTGTTACACTCTTAGTTCCATGAGGTTACACGCACGGATCCGCGGTTACAATGGAGTTACACGAACGGTAAACTAATCTGTTCTGCGACGACGAGATTACATGACAGTTACATTGAGGTTATACGCGTGATACCGCTACGGGATTAAACGCGCATTGTTGGAGGCCGACTGCGGGAGTTATAGAATGGGTATCGAGGGGTTACAATCAAGTTACAATAGCAGGCCGGATCGACAGGTCACGCGAGGCAAAACACCTATTTATTTTATAATTTAAAATAGGTGGGGCCGCTGATGCATACATGATCTCCTACTATTGGCTATCATACGCAGCGCTGCATACTTCTTACTTACGCAAAATTTTTCCCATAAACAGTTGTGACTTTTCTCCCTCCCATCTGAAATCCTCGCAGACTGCCGCGACTGGAGCTAGCTTTGAAGGCGGCTAGGGTGTCGCAGTATTCGAAGAAGAAGAAGACCTACGAAACTCCAATAATATAATCCGGGACTTTGGGCAAGATGGAGGAGAGACGGGATTTGGTTGAAAGGAGGATTGAATTTAAAAAAAGATTTTGAATTATGTAAATTCAAATTTATCAAATCTTCCTAATAAATATTTAAAAACTATTTTGTAGGTTTAAAATAATTTCTCATGATTTATCAAGATTTATTTAACATCTAAAAATTAAAATTAAATAAAAAAACATAAATGAGTATCAAGAACCTCAAAATTATAAAAGGTTGCATTTACTTTAATTAATAATTAGTTATATAAATTAATGATTTTTTAAAATTAATTACTTATTAATCAATAATCTAATATTAATTAAGTATTAATTATACAAATTAAAAGTTAAATAGAATTTTATTAAATTATTTAAAAATTAAAATATATTTTAATTTATTAATTGACTATTAAATTATTACATGATAACTTTATCTAATTATAACTAAATTGATATTTTATAATTTCTTTATTAATTATTAATCGATTAAAATAATAAATTTAAGTCAAATAAAAAAATTATAGCCACAAACCCACCTTTCTATTCCTCTGTCTACCCGAAAACCCTCTCTAACATCCTCCCGCTCTCCCGATTGTGTTCAAAACTTCCCATTTTTGCCCAAAAATCTAGCTTATGTCACTTTCCCTATTGGTTTTGCCCAAAATCATCACCATTTTGAACGAACCTTCGCCCTATATTCATCATTAAGCTGGGAAGGAAACGACGACATCGCGACTTATACAAGCTATCCAAACTCCCATCTTCTTATCCTTCCTCTCCGCTCCTACCATAAACCATCAAGGAAGAAAGCCTTTTAGTGTCATTATTTCTCTTGGCTCTTCTCAAATTTACTAAAACTATCGATTCACAAGTGTTGTTTGGTTGCAAGTAGGATTTAATAAATTCTATAAATTAAGATTTATCAAATTTTGAGGTAATTAAATCCTGAAAATTATTTGATATGCTAGATAGTAAATCATGATAAATCTAATGAAATAAATTTGATAACTTTAGAAATATTTAAGAGATTCATCAGAAGAAGCATCCAAATATAAATATTAAATAAAAAAATACAAATGAATTTTTAAAGGTTAAAAGTACATAGAAAAATTACATTTACATTCACTAATAATTAATTATATAAATTAATAATTAATAAATTATTTGTAGACTGAGTTAATTATTAAATAATGATTTTATATCAATCAAGTACTAATTATATGAATGATGAATTACTTAAAAAACTTATTAAATAACTTAGAAATTAAATATTAAATAATTATATATAAATTAGCTTATTATTATTATTATTTGATTAATATCAAAAGTAATTATCAATTATTAATCAGCTAAATTAACTGAAGTAAACTTACAAAAAGTTTAAAACCACAGCCTAATCTCCTTCTTCACCCTGTGCCCCAAACCCGCGCCTACCAGCTCTCCAGCTCTGCCGCTTCTGGCCTACATCCTCCCCCTCCCGATTTCGCCCAAAACCATCGACTTCATAATCGAACCTTTGCGATACACTCGCTATCATAGCTAGCTGGGAAGGCAGCGACGGGATCGTGGCTTACGGAAACTTCCGAAACTCCCATCTTTCTCATCCGTCCGCTCCGCTCCTACCAGAAACCATTGAGAAAGGTATGTCTGTTTGAGCTATTCTTCCTCTCTGCTCATCCCGGATTTACTAAATGCGCCGATTCACATGATTTTCAGTAAATCCCGGATTTATCGCGAATCGGCGTCATTTTGGGATTTACAGGCGCTGTGGATTTACGGAGGCTTTTTTGGCCGTTTACCAGGATTTAACTTAAAGCCTGCGGAAATCCTGCTTAAAACCGGCTGCACACAGCCCGTTAAAGTTGTCATTTTTGCTGTTTGGAAGGATTTAGGCTGAATCCTGCTTCAATTCTGCCCAAAATCTACTACCGAACGCCAGGAAAAGCGGGGGAAACTGGTTTTGGATATGCAGGATTTAAAGCTGTAGATTTGTTGCTTGGCAGGATTTACATTAATCTCGGGTAAATCCTGCCTCCGAATTAAAGCACTAATTTAATTATTTACAAGTTAGCATTTTATAATCTTCATGTTTAAAGGCTTCTATGGTCATATCTTCAAATAAATAATAACTAATTTAAAGTTTAGATAACTAGCACTGGCTTAAGATGGAGGTTTATGGTAAGGAAATTGAACTCTTAGGGCGTTTTTGGCTGCACATAGGATTTAGGTTAAGTAGGATTTAATAAATCCGGTATATCCGGATTTATAAAATCCAATGCTGCTAAATCTAAGAAGATATTTGGTATGATTTAACCTAAATCTGCTTAAATCCATCTCTTATGTTTGACATTTTATCAGGATTTAAATTTCTTGTGAACTAAATCTGTTAAATCCACCTAAAAATCGGATTTAGTGAATCCGGATTTACGTCATAAAATTAACAGAGTGGGAGAAATTTGAATTTAGCAAATTGTTGGATTTATTTCAGGTTTTTTCACGTTTGGATAAATTTACGTTAAAATCACCTGTATATCCTATTAATTCTATTTTACCAAACTCCACCTTAAAGTAGATGTGTTGAATGTAAGATGCACTATTCTTTAAACTATATGATTTGATTCTGGGAGAGCCTACTTTAAAATTGATGAGATGCTCTTAGAAGTCCTTATGTTATTTAAATTCTTACATCTTCAATTGATAGCTAAACGGGTACCAAAATGCTTTTAACTAATTTTGTGATGCATAACTATAATAATGGTATAAGATTAATTGGTTTGGGCATAACCAAAATAAGTTAATACAATGGCTAACAACTGATGCATGTTATTTGTTTAGTGTATATTAAATGGAGAGTTGGTTTTGAAGAAATATAACATAACTAATTAAGCTAAATAAAAATGTTTGAATTAATTTTTTGTTCATTATATAATGACCATAATCAAGATATGGTGTATTTTGTACTAGATATATGGTAATAATAATAATAATAATAATAATAATAATAATAATAATAATAATAATAATAATAATAATAATAATAATAATAATAATAATAATAATAATAATAATAATAATAATAATAAAGAGTACTTATTTTTCTATTGTAAATCACTTAATATGGCTCAAGTTATGTGCTTAACTATATGTATGATTTATGGATCAAATTAGAATTGAAGTCTGGGGTAAAGTATATGGAGTGATGAGCTTGCTCTTCTGAGGTCAATGCTTTATGGTAATGTCAAGGTTTAACTCAGAGTCAAAATGTTGTAAAGTGGGTGATCTCATTTTTCATTTGATGTTTTATTTGTTGAATATGCTTCTAATTTCATTTTTTTTCATATGCATGAGATGAAGTTGTTATAAGATTGTTATTGTGAATAAATTTCCTGTGATTTATATCTCCCAATGCAAATGATCTTCATATTGCTATGAATGTTGTGTATATTTCACGAGAGGTTGTATTTTGTAACTGCCCTTGTAAACTTAGGGTATGTTTGGGGCAGCTTATTTGGTGCAGTGACATTTTGAAAACGCACCTCGCCTGTTTGGGTAAACTGCGTTTTGACAGCTTATGCTTTTTCAAAACGCTGAAAACAGTTTTTTCACACCGCACCTATCAAGGTACGGTGACAGCTTTCTGACTGCGGTCTGGCTTTTCCAAAAAAATAAAAATTTGTAAATAAAATTTATTAATAGCCACCACACCTAGCTTATCAACAAATTATTTTTAATCAGCTTATCAGCAGATTATCCAATAAGCTGTAGCTGCCTCAAACAGACCCTTAATGTCATTCTAGTTAATTATCCTAATAAAAGACATTGAATGTGAGGTAATTGCACAAATATGATATATAAAAGGCTTTCATGTGCTTATCAAAAGATAGAGTTGTTCTTTATGGTTGTTGAGGATATTTGTGCTTTCACTTGAAGGATTAAGCTTTTCATTACTTTGATGATGTGATTGCTTAGAAAATGTTATTGATAATGATGTGTCATATTGATACAATTAGATATTGCTTCAGTGATAGATGTTTTAGATATTTATATCAAAGGAAAAGTTATGAAAATGATAAGTTATGATATGATATGCTTTAATTCGTGTTCATACTATTAATGTCACATTGAATGCTATGATTAAATTTTTGTTTGTAACTTTGACTACCAAGTAATGTTTATGATTATAATTGCTATTGAAAAAAGGTAAGCTCTAAAATTTATTTGTAGTTTAAATGTGATGATTGACCTGCATATTAATTCTTTTCTTTTGTTTACTATAGTTTATAATTTTTTATCCACCATTAAAATTTCTTAATAGCTCACCCCAATTTATGTTGATATTGTAGGTAAGTTGAACTTGATGGAGTCATTGAAGGCTAAGAGTACCAAGAAAGGAATTGGTAAGTTTAGTTCTAAGTTAGTAGTTATATTTTTGATTCAGAAGCCCTAATTACTATTTGATGGATACAAATTAATTTTTTCTTTAAGTATATAATCATGATATTTTTCATAAAATTTAGTGCTGTTTTATAGTGTTGGTAGACCATGCAGTGGCATGTGACTAACCGTTATTATGTTTTTCAGCTCTCAGCTTTTATTCCAAGCTTCTGTGCTAGGCCATGATGGATGTTGTATGCTCGCTTATGTGCTTGCTCTTTGTTCTCTTCTTTTTTAATTGCATTCACTTGTAGTGCCTAATCTGACACAACTTGGAGCGCCTGCCTGTTCTTCCCAATGCATCGTCCTTCCTTATCACTTTTGTTTAAAGCATACTTTGCTCATTTGTTCACATTTAGCACTCAGATCTTGTGCAATTGCCACCAGCTGACCTACATGCGTTTTCAATCATGCGATTGCTTGTCACATCCTACAACACGCTCGCTTGAACAGATACACACTACTAGTGTGTCACTTGAATTGTTCACATTGTTGCTGGTGCTTTTTTGCATCTGCATTTGCTCTTTCATGACCTTGTTGAAGAGTTGTCTCTCACTTTATGCTGTTTTTTATTTTCTTTATGTCAAAACAATGAATCATCACTCTTCATGAATATCTCCATCAATGTATGCAAAATAAAAATATAATTTATCATTATTACAAGGGCAATAACATTGTCCCAAACTCCTAGTGGCTCAAATGGAGAAGTCACGTGGGCATTTTTGGAATCAATTTCCTAGACAAAATTCAATGATGTCGCTTTTTCTTTTATCTTTTCAAATATTATGAACGATATTTTAGATAATTTTAAACAAACTCAAACTCAAATGTGTGTGTCGAATTTCAATCTAATTATTTTCATTTTTTGATCTCTTGACATTTAGAGAGAGGTTAGAATCATAAGAAAATCCTTAACCTAGTTAATTTTTCTATAAATCACTAGAGGCGACTAGAGATCTTAAAAAATCCTCCTTGTTAGGCAAGGAACCAAATTTTTTCTTTCAAGTTTGATCTTTGATGCTCTCTAGATCTCTTAGCTCTTATTCTAATTAAATTTACAAACGAAAATTCATCACTTAATTATTAAGACACATTCATCAAATTATTTGCCTGATATTTTAAAATTTGTTAATGGTGATTGGACTGTCCCATCCACAACAACATCATCATTGCAATTGATTTTAGTTTAGTAACACTGTACATGCGAATTGAAGTAGTAGGAAAAAAAGAGGTTTCATGTGCCATGTATGCTTCATAAATGGAGCCTTAATAAAGTTCAACTTCAATGGTGATGTCCAACTTTCAGAAAACCTACTTTTAATTTGTATCAACTTTATATAAACATGTTGAGTTGATAATTCAAAAAGTAAAGTAAGCTCTAAACTCTTAAAGAAAAATTATTTCATTAATAGATTTTTCCATACATTAATCATTAGAAAAAATAAGAAGTTCAATATAAAGCAAAAAGAATAAAAAAATAAAAAAATAAAATTTATCTCATAAATTTATCTTATTCTAGTACATAAAAATAAAATTAAACTTTTTGGAGGATAACTTATGGATATTGGAGCACTGTCAAATTTTATCAAACAATAATTGCTCCATTTCTTCTAATAAAGCTTAGAACTTTAATATGAGTGCTCCTTCCCAAGGAATTTTTTTACTCTGGACTAAGGACTCGTTTGGAGCAGCTTATAACTGCGAGCAGTATTTTGAAAATGTCGCTGTACCGTTTATTTGTCCCGTTTGATCTGCTTATCTCGAAATTGTGTTTGATTTTAGTTAAAAATGCGGCCGCGGGATGATCCCTGTTGCCTGCGTTCTTTCGCACGTTTATTACCCTGGTGCCCTCGATTTACTTCTCGCGCTCCTTTGCTTCGCTCCTCCCTCCTTTAACCCATCCTGATAGCCTTCGCTGGACTCCCCCATGCTCCTAACGATACCCTAGTATTCCTTCTCTTCGAGATCGACTGTTCGTCCACTATCGAAACTCGTGGACTCTTTTCTCGGTCAAGCGGTTCATGTTGCTCGGCTTCTTCTTCGGATTGTATACTGGTATTCGGGACTCCCTCTTCTATTTTCTGCTCCTGCTTTGCTTTGATTTTTCAAGAGATTGAAATGGGGATCAAACACACCTCTTTAGATTCACATTTTAGTGTCCAAGACAATGATTGGATTCTTTATGTAGAAACGAATGTTGCTCGCATGTCGTGCCCATTGTTATAGGAGTTCTGTATGAAGCAATGATCGTGGCGTGCCATTGATTGTTGCATAATAGTATTCAACCATTTCGAAGAAGTGTTTATCGTCTGGGAGACTGTTTTGTGGGAAGTTCGGGGGCCGGCAAAAGGTTGAGGCTCAAGGGATCAAAGATCCACTGTTGGAATAGTTTGAATCATCCGCGCTTGAATTCCTAGCAGAATGCTGCGATCAGGGTATGCTTTCTCGTAATGTTGGCATTGTTAATTCGTGTAATTTTTTTTTACTTTATTTCGACATTTTTTAATGAATTCATGGCATGTAAATTCCGGCGGGGAACCTTGAATATAAGTAATCAAGTGTTTATGGGACGAAATGATCATTTATCCATAACATTTATCCATAAACAACTGCAGTTTATGGGACGAAATGATCATTTATCCATAAACAACTGCAAATCAGTTGTTTTCCAAACGCGCAAACCAAACAGCCAGCCAGTTTATCCAAATCAACTATTGATCAACAGCTTATCTTGATAAACTGGATAAGTTGCAGCAGCCCCAAATAGACCCTAATTGTAGCATGAACTCAACATATTTTATAGATTGTTTCATCCACAATAAATGTCTCGGAGTATTTCCTCATCAAAACGACCTTCATCCTGAACACTTTAATTTTTGGATGATTGTCTTGGCAAATTTATTTGGCAAAACAACAAGACAATTACAAAACAAATTGAGATTGGTCGCAACTGCACAAGGCCATACTTTTTTTCTTAAATTTTTTTGATGGCCTTAGCTTCTACATCTCAATCCCTACAACTTGAACATTGACTTGAAGTTGAAATACCTTTTTTTTCAATGACTTGACTTTAATAAGTTCTTTGAACCTTTTTGTTGATATTGTTATGCATGACGCTTCTTTTGACGATCTTGTCCTAGGGTTCATTGTCTTAGGATATTTTTTCTTAATAAGATTATGGGAAATTTTCTCATGTGTAATCATAACCTAGTAGGTAGAATACATTTTAATATGATTATTGGTAACTGCACTGACCTCCTCAATGACGTCGAACCTATTGACTAACAATATCCTTTGTGCAACATCCTAGTTACTAGTAATATTGGCAGCATGCTTGATTTCTTTATTAGCATCTTCTTGAAAAAAGCCCTTTTATTCATTCCTTTTTTTTCAATGGCTTGGAGGCTTGGATAATCTCACTCTTGTCCACAAATTAGGATGATCTCGATGCTTGTGGACTTTTATCAGTTGATTTTTGAAGATTGAAGCTTTAGTTACTAACTTCTATTATGCTTTGAGTATCAATCCCAAAATCATCAAATAGCGTGTTTAATTCCGAAATCAAAGAACACTGAGGCTCACACTCATTGGTAGTATGATTTTTAGAAGACATTAGTGTCATTTTGTTTGTCGCTTGAGTGGAGGCTTTAAGATCTTCAATTACTAACATAGCACTTATTTCAACAACAACTATCGCCTCCAAGACTACTTCTTTCGTAAGAGCTCATCAAGCCTATATATGTTTCAATAATCTCCTCATGACTAAATATTCCATTGCCCTTTCCTTTGTTGATCCATTTTTGTTCTTCATTGATGAAGGGATCTTAAATGATGTAGTTCTTGTAACAATAGTAGTTTTTTGCCCAGTATTGATTCTTTAGGTTTCCAAAATAACCTTTCTAGAACTTCAAATTTAGAAAGCCAAGTCGTGCTTCTTTTTCTTGAGAAGATACTCAAATATCAAAATAGCTGAATGATCAAAGATAAGTGATCAAAGGGTTAATTAATGAAAATATTTGTATTAAAGTTAAGCTTTTTATTTAGAGATGTTATTTGATAGTGTGCCCATCATATGCAGGAAACCCTATCCTCAAATCAAGTCAGTGCTTTTGATCAACTGTACGCTACCTGTGTTGAATTTGGTTACTTTTGAATCATTCTCTTACTATTATCGGCTTCTACAAAAATATGAGAAATAACAAACTAAATTTCACCTATTTTTCATCTGTGTTCAATTTATCAAATCATCTCAATATCCTGGACCTACTATAGTAAGTTACCAATTGTAAGCTGACTCGGCATTGGCCGAAAGCTTTTACTTGCCAAAATCCAAGACTCTTTGAGTTGCTGACTTGCCAAAAATGTCTACTTGCTTACTCATTAAGGATATTCATTGGATGCACTTGGCTACTTATCCAAGTATACTTCACCAAAACTGACTAAGGAGAACATGCTAGCAGAACTTGTCCGGTTATTTTGGCAAGGGGGCTTACTTTTAGCTAGCTTACTCTTTTTTCTTTCTTTCAAAATTTGCAATTCTTAGACCTATTGTCCAAATTATACGACTATATCTTTCATTAATTTTATTATCTACCACATGCTATACACTGAAAGTAGACTACAACAATTAATATGGGGTTATTATGGAGTAAGCTTGGGCATGAAATCACCTTATACTTTAATTATTTTTCTAAACCATGGTTTTAAAATCAGATTGGATAGGTTGGTCCGATTGGTTAAAGTCCAAAATCACTTTTGTGTAGAGTTGATGAACTAATGAACATGTCTGGTATTTAAAGAGCAGGTTGGTTTTGTTCAACCCCAAATTCGCTTCTGCGTAGAACCAATGAATTTATGAACCTGATTGACATTTATCAAACCAACCAATTCTGATTTTGATGAAATTTTGTACTTTATGATTTTGACTGGATGGTTAGAGAGAAAAGATTTAGATTTAAAATAGAAAGGAATAAATAAAATATTTTAAATTTTAAATTAGAATTATGTCTCAAAAGATTTAACTTAGAAGTTATTTACACATCATTTATGCGCTTCTTTTGATTTTTGTGATAACTTATTCTGAAGTTTGATTCAGTGAATGCAACGATATTGCTGTAAACCAGAAAGTTTGGATTAAATTTAAACCTGTTTGATGGCGTTAAAGCATTAACCAAGGCCAAACTTTGCTCAAACTAACTAAATCTGTATTTTCATGCGGAAATTATATAATAGCATGAAAAATATAATCATTTTCATTCTTTTGATGTCATGTAACTTGAGTTATATATTTGAAATTTCTTCATTTCCATTAATGATCTTTTCATGCCAAACTTGCATAATTAAATTTCACATATTTAATTTTGATTCTGGTTTGCTAATGCCACAATAAAGTATACCTAGTTGAGCTTCGGCTTAGCTATATTTGAAAGTTAATGTCAAGATTATTCATGGTAAGTATCATTTAGGAATTTGAATAATTAATAGTGGTTAATAGTTTGAAATATGCTTGATAAAGCAGATAATAAGAGGCATACAAGAAATGAGAAATCATTGGTTATAGGTCATAGGTAAGAATCGAATAAAAAACACAAATAATAAAATATTTGGATACATATATTTTTCTCTCATGCATATTTAGTAGTTCATGTAAGTCTATTGGAGGTTATTTCACAGTTAACTCAAATCTCATGTTACCTCTGAACTGAAAGAAGCACTTGATAATACATTTTTTTTTTCCTTTCTCATATGAATTTTGCTTGTAGTTTAGACAATTGCTCCTTTAAAGTTAGCATATAGATATATGGGCTTAAGATTGTTGCATGGGATGCCAATTTTGTGATTTTTAAATGTTTCTCAGGAAGTTCAAAGTTCTCTAATAAAGCATCTCAGAGACAAACCTCTTTGAAAACAGGTATATGAAGCACTTTCTTTGAAAGTAGGGTTTATGCTTTGAGTTTGTAGCGTCTCATCCTCCCAAAAATTATTTTATGTAGGTGCAGATTTTGATCCTGTATATTCAGAGCTCTTGGAAGGCATAAATGGCAAACTCCTAGATTGTGAGTCCAATGTGAGTTAATGATTGGTTCACTTTGCCAGTTCTTTGTTGATTCCTATTTGTTTATTTTTACTGATTCCGATCCGTGCTTCCATTATAAGATAAGCCAAAATCACCATTAACTGCCCAATATTAGAAGATGTCAATATTACAAAAAAAAAAAAAAAAGAGAAGTTTTAGGGAATATATAATAAAGGGAGATTAACAACTTGAATGCATGCCATATACTTATCAAAATGTTTGCTTTCCAGATATCATGTATGATATCTTTATATTTAAGCTGTATATTCATTTTAGTTTATAGGAATATTAGATAATTTACTTCTTTAGACTGTTTGACAATGAGCTTTTTAATTGTATGCTTACTTCCATCTTTCTTAAAAATGAGTAACATTAGAATTGCATTGAAATTTGAGCTTTTATTGATAATTTTTTCCTAATACAATACATTGTTTTTTTGAGTTTGATCCAGGATCAAGATGAATACTATTGGTGATTCTTCTTGCAATTTCATCCTGGTAATCTTGACTTAAATATAGGATATTGTAAACCTGTTTAAATTTAGATCAGTAGATTTAGTTTTGGAAAATTTTAGTATGATATTGTATAATTTTTAGATCATGTTATGGTCATACTTGTTAGTAAAAGATGGTCATACTTGTAAGTAAAAGTCAAATTTACATGATATTAATTTAGAACCAAGTGACCAATGATTGACGCCTTTTTTGTGGTGAATCAAAGATATTTGTGTTTTAAATGTAGATTTTGATGTTAGTGCTTTGCTGCCTAGTCTAATTTTCTAAATGAGAGTGATTGGTCCCCGTCTCTTAAATCAGAACCACTGTTTTTCAGGTTAATGTGGAAGTTTTGTTCTTGAAGTTTTTCCATTTTAATCTTAACTGTAATGCTTGTCTATTGTTTAGCGTCTATTGAAAAATTAAATTATCCTGGTAAGACATTAATTGGACAATGTTTATACATCAATTTAGACTGTAGGTTTCCATGCAAGGTTAGAATTTGCTATCAATATCTTTCATGTATGTAATAATGCAAGCGACATATTAGAATGGCATGGCATGATAGATCTAGAATGATTTTATTCAAAGATGTTGGATTCAACCATTAATTGTTCCCCAAGGATGCTGAATTCTCTAAGTCTCTTCTCAATTTTTCTATTTATTCCTTCTGCTCCCTCTAAATTCTTTTTCTTCCCTCATCAAATTTTCTCTCCCTTATTATTTTACATCAAATTTTCTCTTTTTGTTATTCTGTTTTTTTCTTTTTGCTATCAATTCATTATTAGATGATTTATATAAGGGAGGTTAATAAGTTTATAAATAGGTGGTTGAATAGAGAATAGAAAAGAAAAGAAACTGGAATGGGATGCTCCATGTTGTTTACCCCTCCTTTAAAATCCATGCACTCTAAAGGGAGGCTCATTGATAGAGGACGAGGGGGTTTGGATTCTTTTCGAGAAAGTAGCTAGTAAAGAGAGAATGAGGGGGTTGGCTATGAGAGACAATTTGGTTTTTTTAGAAAAAAAGAATTGTTATATCATGATATGAAAATTAATGTCATGATGGTCTTACATTTATAGAATATGATAGACTCTTGTAAAATCTTTGAAATATTTAATTATTCAAATTAGACAAAACATGATGTTTGAATGATAAATAGAAGGGATAAGGATGATGTTAAGAAGGGATAAGGAAAATGAATAATGATTTTATTTTATTTTAGCATGTAGAAATACATATTTATTTAATTTGACTTTAGTAAGAGAAATAGTTGAAATAATATAGTTTTTTATGTATTTTTTATTGAGTAGCAGTGAACAAGAATGACTTATGGTAGAAGCTTTTATTCTTGTATGCAAAATCTTATTATTGAGTGTTTGTTGTGATTCATTATAACATTTTAAATAATTTTAGTTGAATATAGAATTTTCTATTGAATTAAACCTATGCCCTCCGCATAACATTAATATACCATTGTCCATCCCCTGTTTTGATCTGTTTTTTCTTGTAATCTTGTGGACCAAATAGTTGGTAGAATATTGATGTCAATATTGATCTTGTGAATAATGAAAAAAACTATGGAAGTTAGATTCTTCTACATTGGGCATTAATGAATATATTTTTTTGTTTTATCCAGGTCTCAAATAGAGCTGATGTTGTCAATAAAGTGGTGTATGATCTTTTGCAACATGGTGAGGAGTGGAATAAATTCAGGAGGACCAGTTTAAAGAAAAAAATAGACCATTGTATGCTACTTGATAATTTTGTTCCTAATGTTGGTGTTTCAATGGATGCTCGTGCAAAGGCTTTACAGAGCCATTCCAAGCGGTCACAAAAGCACATGTCTGGACAACAACATCGAAAATATGGGTCCTTTGATATGCCGAAGGCGTGTCACAAGTACGTACTATTTATTGAGAAGTTCCTAATATTATATCTGTAGCCTTAACTCGTGGCTATTATAGTTTATGGATAAAATTATGTCATGAACATGCTTTATGGATTATATGAAGAGGGAGACCTCTGTTTTAACATTTGTGATAATGTCCTTAAGGTTGGGTACTTTCAACAATATTTTATATCCCAATGTACTTTGGTTGTTATTGCATGAATCTTTGTAGTTGTTTGTATTTGATATTTAGTCCGTTGACACTTTGAATGTGTTTAAGTTTTTTACCTTTTGTTAATAGTTCTTTTGAAGGAAGTTTGTAATTTAGTTATTTTTTGGCTGTTTAGTTTCGTATAAATGCCCAAATTCAAACATATTTTTTGTTAGTTTATTTTTCTTTAAGCATTCCAATGGTCAAATGAAAATTTGATTTAAGGAACCCTTCAATTTCACTTAATTTGTCTTAACCGATTTCGATAAAAGGAGAAGAAAATTCTCAACATTTTCTTTTTGAAAACCTCACATATTTACAAGCCCACCTTGTTGTAATCTCCTTTTGCTTTCTCAATAGAGCCATGCTTCGCTCGTTCTTAACCTCATCAATCACGTTGCACCTGACCAAGTACAGCATCCAGCCATCCACTACTCCAAGCTTTGTTGGAGCTGCAAACTTTTGCGCCCCCTTCTTTGCCCACTCTACTTTATTTGTTCATTTTTTGAATTCACCCTCATATGTTTGGTTTGCATCATCAATCATGCAGCCTTACTTGCCCCATTTGTTTGCTTTGCAGATAGCCTCGCCACCTTACTTGTTCACTGTGCTCAGCTCAAAACCTCGTTAACTCATGCCTCCTCCCTTTCTTTGATTCCTCTCTCATCCATTACCCGATGTTGTCACTCCACTTCTCTCACTAGCATACCATGAAGTATTTTATTCCCTTGTGATTGTAGAGGGGGGGAGAGAGAGAGAGACTGTGTGTGTGTGTGTGATTATCTTCATTGTATCTTTGATCTGGCAAGAGCTTTACCTTGATTCATCTTGACTAAGTTGAGCTTTCCTTATCATCGACGACCGCACATAAGTAATGTTTGATGGAGGGCTTGGAGGTGCTGTTAAGCAACGAATATCGCATTGGTCTTGTAAATTTAATGGTAATGGTATGCTTGAAACCTTCTGGCATTTATCAGGAACGCATTGAACATGGATGCCATTGCTCAAATTTCCAGTGAGACTATCAATTGCAGGTGAGAATGGAAAAAGATTGTTTTTTCTGGGATTCTGCAAACTAAAATGAAATAAATTTTAAAAAATGGCGATAACAAAGAATATTATCATTCTTGGCATTATCGCTAATGATGTATGTTTCTTATGGACTAAGTATGTCCTACAAACAATTGTTGTTTTGAAGAATATCAGTCTATTTCATATAGTAAAGGGTAAGTTGAAAATGATTAATTTCAATCATCTTGAATTTTGACAGTATTTGGTTCACCATAGCATACCAACATTTCGAACTTATCTCAAAATATATTTAGCTCTTTCATTTGGCCGTTCTTTGTTTTGTGATCCATTTTGTTGGAGGAACATATTTGGAATTTTCGTAGCATTAATTAGAATGTTCTTTTGTTCTTATCATTGCATTGATGAGAATAAACAAATAAACAAAACAATTGAAGTGGTTCCCCCGCTATTACAAGAATAAATGAATAACATCTTGAAGATAACAAAAAAATATAGTGTTTACTTGGTTAATTTGATAAATATTCTAGAGCCCAAATGCTAAGCTTCTGCTTCTCCTTGGCATCAAATTACAATGCTCGTAACACACAATAAACATTCTCAAAATCAGAGGAATAAATTCACATATTTGGATTTCGTTAAAAAATGTGCAAGAACTCTAAGCCGCAAGAAATAACTTTGAGCTTTTCAAGAAATTAGAATTACCCAAGAAATTTTATTTGATCTTTAATAATAACAGAATGCTTAGAGGTTGAGAAAAGAATAGACTATACACATACAAAAATGGCTCAGGGTGTTAATATCTATGCAAGGGGATGTAAAAAAATATTGACTAAATGATTCAACTAATATACCCACAATGTCTTCGTTTAGAGTAGAAGGACTTCAGTTTGTTGCTGTTACTTCCTCATTGATCCGAGAGCCTTGTTGAGTCGCTTCTAGCAAGTTGTTTTGCCTGCTACGCAAGTTTCTAAAACCATTCTTTTTGAGCCATCTCAAATTCAATGCAAAAACATTTGCATTAGATTCTTTTAAATAAAGAGTAATAAGTTCCATTCCATTTTACATCACCATCAAATTTGATTAAAATTTAAAATAACTATAAATTTCGTTTTGCCTCTTAAAGAATTTATAAATATAGCAATAAAATTTTCTCAATATTAGTAATTGTTATAAAATATAAGTATCATGAATTATTCCAAGAATTCATTGAAATTACTTTCTTAACTAATAATTGAAGATGACAAATTTAGAGTGTTAGATATACTTTTATGGAATCAAAATATTAGATTCTTAAAGTTTAATGAGATCTGCATCAAATGAATTGCTAATATTTAAACTAAAGGCATGGACTTGATTTCTTCTGGGTTGGATATTAGGCAACTTTTTAATAGTATTATTTAGTATTGAGGAATCAACCTTATGGCTTGTACAATATAGCTATGAGAGAGTAATGGAAATATATTTTAAAAAAATAAACAATTGATGATGCTAAAACATCTAACATGGAAGTTATTTGTCTGTAGACAATCAATTAAATAATGAGAAAAAGGAAGGTTCTTTATTTTTTCAGGTATTTTGGTACTGCCTTGAGCTTAAATCTCTCTTCCTCTTGAAAATCATGTGCAAAATCCAAATGCTAACTTTCACTCACATGCTATATCTAAGAAAATTCTATCAAATTTAGTGGCAAATCTCATGCTAACTATCACCAATATTAATAATTTTGACTGCGGTACAATATTTGGACTCTTGCAAATCTATGAATTATGAATCTATTTACTTGTATAGTTTTTTTTAATTTTTTATAGGGTCAGTCAAGCAACCGAACTCTTTTACATTCCACAAATTATATCAGCCATATGTCTTGATAGCCATACAACACACATTAAATTCACATATATTGTGTTATGTTTACATATAGCTGGATTGAATATTCTGATTTTGGGCATTGACCTTAAGGGTATATTTCTCTCCCGCCGCAGATTTGAGCTTTTCAAGCCAATGCATGACATGTGGAAAACCTATATCCTGGAGCTTCTGGAAGAATCCAGGTGAGTTTCCAAACTGCTTGGCTGTTTCTTGTTGCTTGATTTTTCATTCTTTCTTTATCCAAGATTTGGCTCAATGTGGTCTGATTAATTCTTTATTGCAGCAAAAAGCAATTGGCACAATGCCTTCTTACAGCAGACTTACATGGAGCTTTTGTTGCCGGTAATAAATGCAATTTGACCCGAATCTTTCTATTTTATTTCAGTTTTGGCTGAAATACTCTTTAGAGTGGGATATACTAATGTAATTTTGTTCTTCTAAATTTTTATGGATTGATTTTTAGTTGTTGAGTGTAAAACAAGATCTTTTATTGGTGTAAGCGGTATTATGATTAGAGAAACAACGGAGACTTTTGGGATAATCAAGCGAGATAATCATTTCCGAGGTACCTTCTTTGAGGAACTTTAAGATGCATAATTAAGTTGATCTTACTATTTCATGTGTTATATTCTGATGTGTTATTGCTTTCTATGCTTCTTGTTATTTTTGTTAACATTTTAGCTTCATATTATATCATATACTTGGCATTTTTGGACAAAATCAAGATTCATCTCTTGTTAAAAGAGAATCTAATGGTAAATTTTCTGTTCATTTTTGTTCATATAAAACTTTGCTTTTTTGCATTTACACCCCTCATAACTTTCATATCATATGAAAACATCACTGTTTTAACTTTTGGAAAGTGAAATACATCTATTTCATGCATAGATAAGGTGACATTATGTAAAAATGGAACTTTAGGTGTTAGATATGTAGTATAAATATTAAACTTTAGGTTTTAGATATGTAAATTCATAGGAGTTGATTGGTATGTATGTGAACTTCCGAGCACTTTTACATTATTTTGTTGCTTCTTTACTGAATCATTACAATTTTGAAGCAGACAAGTTTTATTATTTGAAATACAATCTTAAATTGAAAATTTTTGATCTAACAAATCACATGATTTGATTCAGTGGTTCCGAAGCGCGGATCGGTATTTATGTTCCAAGCGGGGTGTTGGAAGGTTACTTTGCACGGCGACAAACTTTCCTCGCGGAACATCACCTAATGTTCAGTCGTCTTGCTTTTTGTATTTCAATGGTGAGTTGATCTTTGCACCATTCATTTTTAACGAATCAATATTGATTAGGATTTTGGTCATGTATTATTTAAGAGGAAGATTTACATACCTGCCACTGAATTCATATGGATTTACATATCTGACACCTAAACTTCAATTTTTACAGATATGCTACATGAAAATGTTTATTTTACTTTACAAGTTAAGATAGTGGTATTTTTTGATATGATGTGAAAGACTTTGGTGGTATAAATGTAAAATGTAAAGTTCAGGTGTTAGATATGTAAGTGCATAGGAATTGGGTGGTTTTTAAGTAATGCATAGGAATTTGGTGCTAGATTGTCTTAAAATGGTGTATATTTTGACATTTTGAACAGCTACTGAGGTGTTGGTTAAATTTGTTTATTAATATTTCCCAATTTGAGCTGTCAGTAACCATCGAAACAAAATATGAGTTTCATTTCAGTTGTAAAAAATCATGTAATTTTTGTTTTTCTAAACTCTTGCTTTAAGGATGTTTGGGGCGGCTGCTGCTTTTTCAAAAAGCTGTTGAAAAACTCTTTTTCAATAATCAGAAAACTGCTGATGTAGAAGCACATGTTTGTTTGGGAGATTTGTTATGCTGCTGTTGTTTCTGATGAGAAAGACTGTTTGACCCTTATATATATAATATATTGAAATAAGTGCAGTTTTGAGAATATTTAAAATTAACTAACAGAAAGAGGTCATATTGCTAAAAAATTATATCAGTCCAAAATACTCTAATAAATAAAGAAAAATTAACTATTTGAAGCAAATAATTACAATAATGAGGACAACAATGGTAATCAATAAGCCTATAATGATGTTTGTCTTGAAATTTCGATGATCAAGTCTTCAGGATAATCTCCTCTACATCTTTACATTTCTTCTCTACTGACACGGTTTGGATGTACCTCGTCAGTGTCATCAACATAATGGAAGAAGTCGTTATATGCAGGAGTCTTGTTTCTGGAACAAGAATAAAATCTTCTCCCGTAGCTTCCTCCCCTCTTATATTGGTCCTAAACACAGATACAACCACAATAATCGAGTGGAACTTTTGAAGTGCTTGATGATCTTGAGATCATATTTTTTGTTATTATAATACAATATTGCTTTAATTAAAAAAAAAAATAAGTTGACACAACATTTGAGAAATTCTAAAAAAATATATATAAGTAGTCTTAAAATTGTGAATTAAATTTAATTAGTGCACAAAAAGAAAGGTACAACATGTGATATATATTTTGAAAAAATACATTCAGAGAAAAACATAGAGATGAAATATGAATCATCAATACAAATAACTCGGTGATGCTACATAAGTAAGGTTGTTACATTCACCAAAAACATCAGTAATCTCCTCTCTCAACCACAACATCTCTTGGGCGCATTCTCTCTCAGAAGTGTTGTACTTTTTCATCCTACATTCCTCTTCTTGCACCGAAGGTTTGACTTGATGTTGGTTAGCTTCCTCAGACATGTTGGTAGGATCATCTAAGGCTCTACAATCGATACCATCTCGGGATGGATGTCATTGTATGAAATTATGAAGCGCAGTCGTTGTAACTGTCTTTACCTGTTTTTTGAAAAAATATGTAAGCATATCTCATGGTATGACCCACTTCTTCTACTATACACAAAATTTCCGTTCGATGATACTGCACAATGATGAGTGTCTTTTGTTGAAGAGCTCATTCTTCCCTTTAATCACTTGACTACTGCGTTCAACTTCAGAGAGGTGATATCTCGTGTCGGGAAATCCCATTGTAGTGGATAGCCTGAATCGACAAGATAATACTTTACTGAATAATGACAACATTAGTGGATTAATTTAAATGAAAATATAATAATGATGGATTAGTTAAATGCACCAACCTTATGGAGGCATAAAAAATTTGTATTCAGGCCGGGTTACAAATTTAAATATTCAACTATTTAAAGCATGCACTTTACTTTCCTTAATGGCCTTCAGGCCGATTTTAAAATGGTTTACATAGCATGACTATATCCCAAGACATCCATTATAAGACATCCACGATTAGGACTAGATAAGTGCATCATAGTGCATGTTCCGAGGAGAAATCTCCGTGCATATTCATCTGAACTGACCAAGCATAAGTTTTTTTATACTTAGGTGGTTGTCTAGCACGCTTATGATGTTAGAGGCTTCCCCGACCCAGAGAGGGAGGAAGTCCTTTATGAGAAGTATTTTCAGCTTTGTAGCTGGAAATCTTAATTTCTTTCTTTCCTGTGGCAACTCCGTCATTTATTTGGTGGGTATAAGTTCCACCTCCTGGAACTTTACCTTATAGTTATAGGATATAGTTTCTTTCCTTTGATCTTAGTGCTATCGAGACTCCCTCGGAGGATGCAATTCACATATTGCTGATGAAGAGTCTCCGGTTGCGTTAGTTCGACTGGCTTCACGACCAAGTAGACTTAGGGTTCTAATAGCTTGAAATGACGAGTCCGTGGTATCTTGACTCGGCTATCTATGAGTTTTAGGATTAATGTACCCTTTCTCTTGTTGAGCCCCTTTAAGTCCTTTGACTTCTTTGGCTTCATTGATATCAACTTGATGACATGATTATCTACGATATGCCGCCCGTTTAGGATACGATGATTCCCCGTCGAAATGATTTTGATTATTTTGTAGGTTCTGATGTCGACAAGCCACAACCCATTTATGATGTAAGAGACTCACTCTCTGTCATGTGACTTAGCAAGAGGTTTGAAGCATCGAGGTGTTCCCATACGAAATAATCATCATTTGATGGTTTATTCTCCAAGTTCATGATAATATAAGCGAAACTCTTTTTATCGAGGTCATTCTTAGGTATCTCTCAATATGTAATTAATCAGATGGACACATTTCTCTGGGAGACTCTTGACCTTAGAGCAAAAATATTCTTTTTGGTTTTCTGGTTACGAGTGGCTTATGTAAGACTTCTCTTTGTGGATGTTGTGTTTCGAGGTACTTCAATCTAATCATATTCAGACATATATTTTTGACCAATCACACGAGGATTACCTATATATAAGTCTTATGTTTGTTCCTTTTTATTTGTTTGCATATTTGTGGTAGTACATCTTTTTTTTCTATTTTTCTCCTCTTCGAATCATTTATATTATCCGAGAGGGAGATTTATTCGAATAAGAGAATTATATAACGAATTACGACTCCAAGTTAAAAAAAAAAAAACTGAGAAAAACAAGTTGTGGCCAGGAATGTTCAAATACTATACTCGCAAAATAACAGCCGAAAAGGGCATATCATCTAAGAAATATCAGAATCAAATGGCTATAAAGTTAGAGACGACGTCTGAAAGGTCATATTGCTCAGGTGATGTTGTAAAAGGTGGCTATGAAGCCGAAGGCGTCAAAAGTCAGGACGTTCGCGTAAATGACTCGACTAAAATGTCATATGACTCGAGAAACATCATAATAGATAGCTACAACGCCAAAGATGCTTTCATAAAATAATGAACTCTAAGGTGATACAATTCAAAAGGTATCTAAATAAATGGCTATAAAGTCTGATGTGCCTTGAAATGAGGTGCTGCCATCAAGTGTTGGCCAAGTAAAAAGATAGTTTCATTGATTGTAACATCATCAAGCAGACAAAGAGGTATGTATCATGACTATACTTATTAAAATAGTAAAGAAGGTATGTATTCTGATTCTATCAAGTGATATAGGATGTATGTATCTTGACTAAATATATCAAAATAGTACATAAGGTGTGTACCCTGACTATATATCAAATAGTACATGAGGTATGTATCTTGACTGTATATCAAATGAGTGACCCTGAGCAAAATAACTTGGGATTGTCATGCTCAAAATATATGCTAGATGGATGAGACATTCTAGCAAGGAAAAATGCTTCTCTCGAAGGGTATCAATCTCAACTGACTAAGGTAATCCCATCATGAAAGAATGCATCATGACATGATCATACATCAAAGTACTCAGACGAAACATGGACCGATTAGAAAATCGATACATGTTCTCGACAATGCAATAAAAATTAACCAAGTTGATCTAGAATATCAATGGGATTGGACAAATGAGATGATCCAACCTCAAGGGTGCTTTCACAAGCATTAGCAAGATGGTTCTTGCTAGGGATTCCTCAAGAACGAGTAGAATAGTTCTTGTCGAGGATGCTACCGACAGATATTTTCACGACAATTTTCTGAGGTAACTCTCGTTGGGAGAAATATCGGGGTATTAGTCAGACATTAAAGTGGCTCTGACCCAGAAAATGGATCAGATAGACAAAGGATGTCTAAATTGATACATGTTATATGAAATGGAAAAAAATTATGGAGTCTCAAAAATATCATGTGGATTAGACAAACATGATGACCCAGTCATAAGTGGTTTAGGGAACAATCCAACCAAAGAACGACTGACCACGAATTACTCAACCTTTAAGCCAAACTCAAATGTATCCTAGAAAGGGTATATATCACATTCATGAGTATGCTAGGGTAACCACCACATTCACCTGTGATGAGTGGAATACTAAAGATTCAGACCCACTCAAAGCGGATAACCGAGAAGAATGCTAGGAAAAGCGCATGTCTTTTCTCATATATGGCATATATCAATCAAAATTAACTTTATCAAATGAGATACCAAAAAGACGGGTTAGGTAAAAATGTACTAACCAAAGTACACTTAGCCCTAAGGCTATGCTCAAATTCTCTACAGGGCATCTTCCACACTCACCTACATTGAATGAGACTAGCGCATCTTCCACATACATCTATAATGAGTGAGACGACCTAATTCGGACCTGCGTGAAGCGTGTAACTGAAAAGATTAATTAGGCAAAACACACTAACCATAAAATGTTTAGCTATAAGGCTAGACTCAAAGAGACCCTTTGAAAAAAGGAATCTACCACACTCGTTCAAGATGAGTGGGATAAAATAATTCAGATTCACACAAAACGTATATTCGAAAAGCTATGATAAGAGAAATGTGAGAACCTCTCTTATGTTGATTGTTGGTGCCAGGTATAGGCGAACCTAAGGGAATTTCACCTTGCCCTTATACAACCCAACAATCGATTATAAAAAGACGCACAATTTTTCTCTTGCACATAGCATGTATCAATTGATATTTAAAGTTGGTCAATCAAGATACCACAAAGGTTGATTAAGCAAGATGCACAAACCATCTCGCGTTTAGCCTTCCCTAAGGCTAAAGTCAAATTTAAATTACCACACTCATGCATGATGAGTGGTATGAGCATCTCCATCACACTTACCTGCGTTAAGTGGGATACGCTCAATTTTGGACCAGCACAAAGCGTGTAACTGAATGGAAAGAGAGAAGCTCATGGTTTCTGTCACATCAATCGTTACTTGCACCAAGTCTAGGATACCCAAAGGGAATTATATCTTGCTTGAGTAGGCAAACAAGTTCTCCTATGCACATTTATGTTATTCTAAACTACATCACATGACCCTTTAAGCAAACATAAGGAAGTCATTACAAGCAGCTCAAACAAGTGTAATATCAAAGATGCATCTTTATTGCTCAAAAATTGAATTATAAAGTACATAAAGCTTTGAATAATCATCCTCTAACATAAAGTACATCATATATATATATATATATATACATATATATATATATATATATATATATATA